TCACGATCAGGCGAGTCGACTATTGAGGTATACTTTTGAAGCCAAAACTTCTGAGATTCTTATCGACACGAATGGCGTCCGAGAAATAATAGACACCGAAAGTGGTCTCAAATACGGAAAAATAAGCGCTTTATTTGTTAAGGATATAAACGAAAACTGTTTCACTTCTGACGGAAAGTTTTTAATATTGAATTGTTTTACTGAACTTCAATTAGTCCTCTGTTTGTTTGATCTGAAAACTAAACAATTGATTCCAATTGAGTTTCCGCTGCCATCTATTCAAGTCCTGGATCTGATCGATAATGTCTTAATAGCCGTCGGCTCTGCGCTCAACACTAAACCCAATATATTTGTCGGTAAACTTAATTATAGCGATAATACAAAACCATGGGTTGAGTGGAAGGAAATGGAGACCAATTCACGCGATTCGTTGAAAGACATATCGGTTGACAACTTTTATATCCCGAGTGAAGACCCAAACAAATTGTTGACAGCAATTCTGGTCAGTCCTAAAGCGGTTGAATCACAACCGACGGCCACTATTGTTATGGCTCACGGGGGACCTCACGGCCAGTACTTCAACACCTATATGTCATATCCCTCTCTATTAGCGAGACTTGGGTTTAAGTCATTATTAAGTAAGAATTAATTTCTCAACTTTATTTGCCAACAAATTTACATTATTTTCACCCAATAGTCAACTACAGAGGATCTCTTGGCGTCGATGACAACTATGTGAATGATCTGATTGGACACGTGGGCGACAACGATGTCCGCGATGTCGTTCATTGCGTTCAATATTTGAGTGACAAAAGTCTTATCGATTCATCGAAACTGGTTTTGTGGGGCGGATCTCACGGCGGCTTTTTGGTCGCACATCTGAGCGGACAGTACGCGCACATGGATTTCAAGGCTTGCATTTCCCGCAATCCTGTCATAGACTTAACATCGATGTCGGACGCGACCGATATTCCCGACTGGTGTGATGTCGAGACTTTCGGTGACTCTAAACTATTTGCTTTCAACACCCCATTAGACTCGAACTCATTAATCATGATGTTTGAAAAGTCGCCCATTAATTGCATATTAGACGTGAAGGTTCCGACGCTTATAACATTAGGTAAACGTGACCGTCGGGTGCCGTGGACTCAGGGTCTTAAATATTACCGCATACTGAAGGCAAGGGGTGTGAAGACCCGGTGCCACGTATACGATGACAATCACAGTTTGCAAAAGGTTGACGTCGACGGCGACTGTTTCGTCAATATCTGTCTCTGGATTCTCGAGAATTTAAACTAAATTAATGAAAGACTTTATTATTAATACAATTATTTTACAATTCTTTTCATAATTAAAATCACAAAAACATATTTGAAATGATATTTGAAAATATATTGGGATTTGATATAACCTTAAATATATAATACAATGCAATAAATATGTCAAATAATAGTTTGAATCAATTATTGAGTGGAAGTGTTAGCCAACAAATTAATGGCTCCGAAGTCAACGTATTCTATGCTATCATTACTATTGCCGACAATTATATTATTACTATTACTCGAAGTGTTGACCGAATCATCGATTGACGCGTTAGTATTGCTATCGATCTGTCCATCGCATGGATTGTTGTATATTAAGCCTTTGGTCGCCGAACTGGCGGTCGACTGAATGACGTTGATTTGAGAGCGCATTGTCTGCAAATATGATCCAAAGTTTGGTTATATTCAGTCATATTAATCAATAAAATAGCATACATTAGGTTTTATGTCACTCTTAGCCGACAAACAGTTACTAATATCCATCTCTTTAGCCGTTGTCTTCACCGATACATCGTTTATCATATTCTTGTTAATCGATTGTTGCTTTTTATGGACTTTAATGTGCTTTAAATGATAAAAATAATCAATTAATGGATGAATGAGACCATAGCTGATGAGTGAATACCTTATAACATGCGCTCATTTCGGCAAATGTTTTTGAGCAGACGGTGCAGGCGTACGGTTTGAGGCCGTAGTGACGGTTCGAGTGTTCGTTGAGTGACTGCTGTCGGGTGAATGTCTTACCGCAGAGATCGCACACGAATGGGCGTTCGCCAGTGTGCACGCGATGGTGTCTCTCCAGATCACCTTTGGTCAGGAACTTGGCCTCACAGTCGCAACAGTCCCACCGTTTGACGCCCTCGTGTCGGAGGACGTGGAGCCGCAACTGCGAGCGCTGGCGAAACGCTTTGCCGCAGAGTTCGCACAGATGTTTGCGTTCGTCCAGATGTAGAGCCATATGGGTCTGGAGGACACCCGTCTGGGAGAAGGATTTGCCGCATACCGAGCACTGGTATGGCTTTTCGCCGGTGTGGCGACGCATATGCACTTTCAGGCTCTTCTTTTCGGTGAACCTGGAATCGCATTGCGAGCACTTCCACGGCCTCTCACCTATCGGTCCAATAATAAAGGTTTTTACAGTTAAGACAAATAAGAAATATTAGATATGAGTGTAAAAGCAATGAATACAAACCGCTGTGTGCTTTGATGTGTCGCTTAAGATTGCCTTTCGTGGAGAAACTGGCCGGACATCGGTCGCAGGCAAACGGCTTTTCGCCGGTGTGTCTCCTCTGATGAACCAATAGATTGCCTTTCGTTGAGAATCGAGCCTCACATTCGCCGCACGCGTATGGCTTCGAGTGAATCCATTTGTGTGTCTCCAACGCCGAGTTGTTGACCAACTTTTTGTTACAGACATCGCACTCGACGGAACCCTTTCCATCGATGTCCGCGCTTTCAATGCTCACCAAACACTTCTTGTCCGCGCGTTTTGTTTTATTGTTAATAATTTTTAGCTTTCGTTTTGTCTTCTTTGCCTTATTATTGGTCTTCTGATTATTGTTGACCACATTTACAGCCGAAGACTGACTGTCGGTCAGATTCTCATCAATACTAAACTTTGGTCTATTCTGATCCGTGTCTTCGCAGTTGGAACTGCTGTCATAAGAATTGACATCAAATGAGGTCTCGTTAAACATATGGTTAGCGACTCCACCACTGCTTTCACCACGACTTTCATCTATGGTTTCAATCACTTGAATCAGATTACTATCACTGATGGCGTTCTCATCACATGTATTATCACAATTTGTGTTGAACTGAAGTCTATTCTTTGTCTCAAATTCTTGGCAACAGTTCTGCAGATTCTTCTCAATCGCTTCGATAGCCTTTTGTGTCGATTGAATAACATTACGTCTTTGACTCGTTATCAGATTCTGATCCAATTCTTGTATAACACTAGTGGCCGAAGAATTCGTGTCCACAACCGATTGGTGATGTCTGCCGTTCATAATCTGCTGTTGAGTCAACTGTTGGAACTCTTCTTGAGATTCTTTCGGTTGTTTTTCAAAGGCTATCAGCAACTGATGAGAGGATGACTTCTGGCCATCGACTCCATCGCTGGTTTCCGATTCGTGGTATGAAGTGATGACAGACGCCAAGTGCTCGTCAATCACATCCCTTTCATCGGCAGTGATTGTCTCGACCACACCATTGCTGGTCAACACTGACTGCTGGAACTCCTGTGACATCTGATTACTGCTATTAGTATTGGATTTGATTGAGTTGTCACTAATGGTGGCCGAGTTGTGGTGACCGCTATTTGAATGGGAAATCATAGGCAGATATAGTTCTGGTTTATCACTGGAAGAGCCGTCAGCGGTGGCGCACATCGAGTCCATCAGCAAAACCGATGGCTGCGGAGGAGATATTTGTTGTTTGGGATTGTGTTGATGTTGTGACTGATGAGGAAGTAGTGGTGGTTGTGATGGTTGAGGTAGAGTGTGGTCGTCCTGATCCAAACGCGTGGCCAATGCGTTGATATCGGCGGCGCTATTGTTGACGATCTCTTGGAGTCGTTCTGAGACCACATTCCAGTATTGGACGGCTTTTAGCTTTTCTTCGGCGCATAGCGTCGGCACCAATACTACCGCCTCTTCGATCTGAAGCAACACAACAACACATTTACTAATACTGTATATACAATGGTATGCAACTCAGCACTGGAACCAATCATCCCAACCAATCACAAGAACATCAAATATAGACAAAGTATAACCAAATATACAAAACCACACAAATATTTGTTTTATAAGTTTCAAAAGTTTTATAACATTTATTATAAAAACATTATTAAAACAAGAATATATTGGTTGAAATGAAAACCTAATGACCTAATGGTAGATGTGGTGCAGTTGTGGTTCGGTTACAATTATGCAAATTGTATCATAATTTAGATCAACATTCTTAGGCACCAGGAATCAAGCTTAATAAAAATTGTAGCAATAGTTATGAAACGGCAATACTTTATTGGACATGAGTCCAATAGCATAGCTCTCCTATGGGATAGTATCGACTTCGGTATTTATAATGAGTGAATTTTGACTAAAATTGACCATGCTCAAACAATAATAGAGATAATACAAATCCAATATTGACATAATGTTAACTATACATCACATCTACCACACCATAACCTACCATAGGTCACTTGGTTTCCATTTCTACCAATACAATATTCTATAATTAATATCTATGCAAATTAAAATATTCTTTAAATAAATTATTCCTAGTACAAATAGTAATTATATGCTAATTGTAATATTTCTAGTAATGTATCAACCAACATCCAAATTAGTTTTCAATTTGAGTACATTGCAAATATACAAAACAATTATAATATTCCTTAAATTGACCTAGATCAATTAATTTACTCATACTTATTACCGGTAATTAAATCTTATATCTCAGACTGAGATTCTCAGTCAACTAAATTGTGGGCACATTTATATGATGTATTCAATCACAATCAATACAAACATGGATGTAATGAATAGGGAAAAATTGTTCATTAAACCGCATGGTTAGTTTAATGATTTGTTGGGTATAATTAGTTAACTAATGTGTGCATCAGTGGTGATATACCACTACATGTTGTGTGCATGTGTTGTGGATTAGTGTATGGATTGTAATTGTATGGCATAAACAGAGCACAGACTGTATTACCCGATCAGAAACACAACAACCACTCAATGTATGACATAATCACAGAAACACTTACTTTCTTCTTGAATGCATCCAAACTGATAGACAAAGCGCTCATTATATGGACATAAAGTGTCACAAAACTTATAATCAAACGCTAATCCAAACCATTATTGTCTAATTTGATGGCAAATCTAAATCACTCACTCTTTTGTCACTGCATTTGTTTTGTCACTCATTTGTTGTCTGTTTGCTATGAAAAAAATCTAAAATATATGTTGTGAAAGTATGACAGAGAGAAACACCACTCCTATGGGAGAGTATATGAGAGAGGGTTTGGAAGAGAAAGAGAGGCACACAATGTGCAAAGCAGTACAAACTATTACACAATGAGATTATAGTAAACGTAATATTTGGTCATTCAGTGATTACGTTGACTGCGAGTGCACTGTAAACAACGACCGCATCATTTAACGCAAGTATTGCAAAACTAGTTTTATTAACCAACCAATTATTTAATCAACTTTTTAACCATATTATATGACCACAACATTACCATATGGTCAATGTGTAGGGTGTGATCAAACCGGTGCTCAACGTCTATATCGGAAATTCATAACTATTACCACACTTTACGGATCGGATGCCGCCCTCCAGAGCCACAGTGACACTGGCGGTCAGTGTTGTGGTGAGCGTTGGTATCATATACTATGTCCACAGCCAACAGACTCGGGAGAGAGAGTCCATGCATTTGGGTGTCATTAAAGACATTGAAAGACAACAATTCAGGAAAAGCGTCGGCGCCTCCGCTCTCACCACTGATGGCAGTCCTCGCGTCTCGTGAGACACATCCCCCGATCGCCACCACATGTGCTCATCATTTAGTCATTCATATAATTAAAGAGTGTTTTAATAATTAAAGTGTTTTAAGAATGAGTGTATAGTTTAATAAATAATACATTTTAAGCCATTCATGTGTTTACAAGTGTGTTAATTGACCGATAATTGACAGTCGATAGTGTGATCGCAACGGCATTTGCGGACAACATGTGTGTCTCAGACCGACAATTGCAATGTTGTGCCGCAGAGTGTGTCACACGTGCCGCCACTCAGCAGTACTTTCTACGCTAAGACAACTACCGACACCACATCCCGCGCCGACTACTCGGCCAGCGTTGTAGACATGACATTACCTCTAATACATCAAATATGATCAGGATCAGTTTGATCAGATTGTAATGCAGACAATGGTCTCTCTGTCTCTGGTCTCGCAGACGATGCAGATTTGGTCTCTAATGGTTTGACCACTGGATCAGTATATGTAAAGCCAATGGTGGGGTCGGGAAGGGAACAGATGTCAACACTCTATGTCTGATATTTAGTCAATACATTCAGCGCTTAATTCAATTCAATTAAAAGTTTTGTTTCAATCGTTTGATGAAGTTTTGCATTTCATTTGATCAGTGATTGTATGCCATCTGTGGGTCGACTCAAACACATGAAATAAGTGTCAAATTTGATATCAAATTGTATTTAAATGACGAAAAATGCCCAAAAAAGTGATTTCTGGTCTAGACTTGAGACGAAAAACATTAATTTTTAAAGCAATTTTCAATAGTTTTAAAGTGAGTCAACAAATTGATGGCCTCGACGTCGATGGCAGCACACATGGAGGCCGAGACGCCGACACACCCATGAGTGCCATCACTTCGGGCGGTCACCAGTCCGTGCTTTTGACCCAATCATCGCTACGATCGGCCCACAACCGGAGCCCTCGAATTCATTTATTAAACGGTATGCCATTTGTGTCACATTTACTAATAATAATTGTTTTTAACTTACATTTAATGGTTTGGTTTTTGTTGTAT